GAGTTCTGGGATAAGCCCCCAAAACAGGTGTGCCACTTTCACTTTAAGGGCCCACATCCCTTTCTTCTTTGCCAACACGTCTATTTTTTCTTTATAAACGATATTTTACATTCTGAAAACACCTTAAAATTAAGGTACAAACAATCTCATGAGGTATTTATGCCAATTTTCATATTTTTTTCGAACAATATATTGCCAAGTAGCTCTAACAACAAATTGACGCCTTAAAGGGATTCCTTCAGAGGTACGAAGTTCAGTGGGATTGCAGTATCCATTAGCTTCATCACTGTCAGCTTGGGATATGCACATGGAAATGTAACTAGGGAAATGAGGCACTATGTCTTCCTGAGTCTCGAGCCTCAGAGCTGGAAGGCTGTGACAATCTGGGCTCTGATCCCAATTAGTGCGTGGGGGTAGGGGTGGTGCTCAGCCTGTCCCTGGCCCACCAGTCTCCTCACTCTGAAGGTGGGTCAAAGGTGATATTCCTCCTGGAATAGCAAAGCTAAACTGTAACAGAGGGGAAAAAAAAAAAAAAAAAAAAAAAAAAGCTTCTTGGGTTGGTGGGGTGGGGGCGGAATGGAAAGCTACAATACACTGCTTGTTAGGGTTAATCCCGGTTTTGACAATTGCCAGAGCTGTTCAAAAAAGGAAATGATTAAATAAATAAGCCACTATATCAAATTAGCAAACGAACCCTCTACTGACTCGCTCAAGGGTTTCGGGACCTCAAGAAAATATTTTTGAGTGAGGAGAAAGTAAAGGTACCTTCCATGTCATTACGTAAGCATCTCCTGCTTTGAGGATTACGGGAATTACCACGCGCGGCCAGCTGGGAGCTCCGCTGCCTATTACACCTGCCGGACCCAGGCTCTCTCAGCCCGGCCCGAGGCTTCTCAGCCCGGCCCGAGGCTCCGCAGCCAAAGCTGCCTGCGAGTATTCGGGAACCGTCCGCGGACGCGTCTCCGAGATACCACAGCCAAAGAGGTTTTCTCAGACGGACGTTCAGCAAGTAGAGAAAATACTACGCTATAATTTCAAGTTGGAAAACTTTTCTTTATAACTGGATTACCCATTGTGAGCTGCCAGGAAACGGCTAGCTTCTTTTCAAGGGATCGCGACGACTCGTGTCCACAACTGCAGGACGGCGACGAACTCAAAGGGAGGAAATACAGACTACGGCATGAGTAGAATCTTGCGCTATGTGACTTTGGGTCACACTTAACTGAAAATGCCAGTGGCCGCGCAGTCGGGCTACTTTTTTCCACCAGCGCCTTATCCACAGCCAGTTGTCCCTTTTCGGGCGACATTTTCTGGAAAAAATGGGTACCCGAACTCCAGATCCAAAGCGTCTTTCTGAATCTCTCCCCGGTCCCCTCCAAGCCGAGCTCAGTCGTCCGGCTCCCCTCTTCCCCATCCCCGCTGCCAGAGGTCGCCGCCGTCTGTGGTCCCGAAACCCGAGAATGGCTGGTAGGAGGCCTCTCAGAGGTGATGAGGGGCAGGGGGTGGGGAGGGAGGATGCTAATTTAGCCAAGTTAATAGTTTTTTCCAGGGGACACGTTTTGGGGGAGATCTGGGGCAGAAGGTAGCTTCGCAACCCCCCAGTGATGATCGCGAGGCTGACCGAGGCCGGGCCACTGCTGTTAGTGTCACATCATTCTAAGCGTTACTAGGAAGGGACGCCGGAGATCAGAGACAGCCAAGACTCGAGAAGGTAAACCAGCCCCGCCAGGCGCGCAGCCGCTGCTGAAGCCTTCCCAGACGCGAACCTCCCACCCCCACTTCCCCGGCTTTTTCATCCCTTCCAGGGTCGAACCGCCACAAGAAGTCTGGTCCCAGAGTCTAGCAGAGTGCTCTCCGAAAACCTGGTGACGAAGGAGAAGACTTGAGGCTCAGTCCGGGTAGCCTACCCTGGATTCGAACGCGCATCTCAGCCAGACACCTGTTCCACAAAGCTGGAGTTTGTGCTGGCGCGCGCTGCGGCAGGAAGGACCCCATCGTCCTCTCCCTCGGTACGGTTCAGAACCGTCAAAGGCGCACATCACCCCAAATCTAAGTGCGCACACACCTGCGCACGCACCCGGAGGCTCGCACCACTCGTGGCGCCGGCGCGCGACAACTCACTCCCGGGTCTCCCACCTTCAGCCCCGACCCCGCGCTCGCCACTGGGGCCCACCCGCAACCTGCCCTTCCGGGAGGACGGCGCCAAGTACCTGCCGTTAAGATGCAAAGAACGAAGAGAGTCTTGCAGACCATGGTAGCCTGCTGTTTGGTGCCTGGCCCGGAGCGGGCGGCAAGGAGTTTGCGGACAGAGCGCACTGGGAGCCGGTAGCGACTCCTCCACTGGGTGGGCTGTGGTGGGAGCCGGGAGGCGCGGATAGCTCCGGTGGCAGGCGCGAGGCAGACGAGGCGAACGCCGCGCAGCTCCGTCAGCTGCGTGCCCTCCGGTACTCGGCGCGCTTCTGCTCCATCCCAGCAGCGCGAGCCCTGGGCCGCCTCCGCCGCCGCCGCGCCCGCCGCTGCCAAACCCCTCCCACCCGAGCCCCGCTGCGAAGACAGGGCCTCCCCCTGGCCTTCCTTCTCCCAGCCCTCAGGTCCCGAGAGCCCCGGCCCAGAGCGGCCTCTGCTGGACAGTAAGGACGCCAGACCCGGGCTTCCACTGCGTTCAGCAAACGTTTGCAGCGTTTCGCACTGTGCTGGGAACTGGGATGCCAAGAAGTGTGAGCACATCTCTGCCCTGAGGAATCTAGCTCAGCTTTTCTTACATGAGCTTACAGCCTTTAAAGAGGTCGCTTTATACCATTTTAGGTGTTCCCTCGGAGAACCAGCGCATTTTCTAAGAATGAGAACCTTCATTTGTTCAAACACTTCTGCCTGTACATTAAACCCTCATCCCTGTTCACCCCTACTGTCCTTCCTGGGGCCTGAACCAGGATGTATGCCGCTGTATTCAGTTTCTTATTAGAAGAAAATGGTAATGTCAGGAAACTGATGGTGGGTTAACTGAGCCAGACACCCTCCTGGGCGTCGTTTCATGAATCCTTCTTAGAGTTATTATTGTTCTATTTTACAGGTGAGTAAACGAAGGCACAGAGAAGACAATGTTCTCAAGGTCGCATAACTGGTAAGAATAGTTTGTGCACTAGGCCCTTAATAACAAAGGCTGACATTTCCTGAGTGATTGCTATGTGCTAGGCACTGGACAATGTGCTGTTCAGGAATCAACCAAGTCATTTAGGCTTCACAACAGTCCATGGAGATTATATCCTCGTTTTCAGGGAGGAAGTGGAAGCACAGAGAAGTTTAACTTGCTCAAGTTCACACAACTCACAAGTGATAAGATGCCTGCTTAGGCACCCCGCTCAGCCTCTGTACTCCCTCTCCAGAGTCCAAAGCTTCTTCAAAGCCTACAGATCAGAAGTGACCTTTCACTCAATTCCCTCCTTGCTCCTGCTATGCTTTAGACTTGCTTAGTTCTCACACTTCAATCAAAGCAGATGTCAGGTTCTCTCCCAATTCTGATATTAATGAGGCTGATGGTCCCCTAGTCACTAGAGCTAGGGCACTGCAGGAGTTAACAAGCCTTTGTAAAGAAATGATTTGCTTGGACGACAGCTTTTTTCTGTGATATCTTTTTCATATACTATGAAAAGCTCTTCTCTCACTTCTTTCTCACATACCAGAAGCTGACTCTTATGAGGCCTGAGCACCGTATCTACAGTCAGTTCCTCTGCCTGACTCTACCACTACCACTTGGAGATTTTGCTCACACTTCCACAACCAGATTAAATTGGGATGATATTTTTTTCTCTTTGTGTTGATAATTCTATTAATTTCTGTTGGAATGAGAAACAAAAATACTCGAAGTGCCCTTCCCCTCTCCATCCTCCCTGGCAAGATCACTGCAAATTCAATTTGTTCAACATGTTATCTGAATGCTTTTGACTTTGAGGTCCTTCTGGTTTCTAGGGTAAGCTATGTGATTAAGAAGAATTTCTGCATCTGGATTTTGGTTGTCATGGAGGCAGGGACCACACACGGAGTTATATAGCGACATTCTATCAGGCACTGACCCCTTTAAATAGGGCAACTTAAGTAAGTGACTCTATGTCAGAAATAAAGGTTTTTGAAGACCACTTCACAGAAAAATTTATTCAATTAAAATTCAACAAAACCTTAAGGAGTCTTTCTGGAGTGCAAAGCATGTGCAGCTCTAACCTTGATACCTAAGATAATGATTTGGTATTCAAAGAATCATGACCCCTACACACTAATCAGTGAAAATTTCCAAAACTTTTCTCCTGTATGCAGAATAGAGTTGAAATAATTTCTTTGATTAAAATAGTTCATTTTAATTGCTGATTTAAAATTTTAATTTATTAATTTAGTCAGAGCATATTTAATCACTTATACCAGCCCTTATGCTAGGCAATGGGACTATTACAGTTGTAATAGCCAGGGTAGCATAGATTATGCTGCTGTAATAAACCAGCCCAAAGTCTCCCAAGCCTAACCAATAATGGTTAATTTTTTGCTCATCAAAGTGTGCTGTGGATTCAGGTTACTCCTCAGAGTAGCTGTCCTCAGGATTCAGTGTTGTACTGCCATATTGAGACCTACTTTTGTTACAGTAGGTAGCTAGCCAGGCATGAGTAAGGCAGGAAAGGGCTCCACCCACACCCCCACTAGGAAAGGCAGGTAACCATCACGTGATGGCCAGGGGGCCATCTAAAATATGGCCAGATGGCCTCTCTAAAATAATAATTGATTACAGCTGGCACGAGGAAACGGCGGCTCCCTAAAGATAGGGAACACCTGAAACTGGTAATCAGCAGCTTCCAATAAGATCTCAGGAGTCTTGCGACTGAGCTCAGGCATGTGTATTATGCTGCAAAATGGTGGAGTTTAACTGGCATATGATCTTCTTGGGGCATTCCACTGGAAAAGGAATGAAAGACACTGGAAGTAGGCCAGCATGCAAAACCTTAAGTCCAAGGTCAAATGGGACACTTGACCTCCAAGATGCCCCCTTGGGCCTCTTCCAACTGTACTTTCCTTTCTTCCTGATCTACAGCTTTTTAATTAACTTCCACTCCTGCTTTGAAACTTGCCTCAGTCTTTTTTTCTGCCTTATGCCCCTCAGTTGTATCCTTTCTTCTGAGGCAAGAATTGAGATTGCTGCAGACCTGCACTGATTCCCTGCCGGTGACTTGTATAACTTCCACCACTAACAGTTTCACATCCACTGAGTTAGGGGAAGAGAGAACTGGAGAATTAAGTATTTAAATCCTCCACCTAAAAGTGATGCTTCTGTCTATAATTCATGGGCTAAGGCAAGTCAATGGCCATGCCCAACTTCAAGAAAGCAAGGAAGCATGTTCTTTTCTTGTGCTCGGATAGAGATAAGAACTGTATAGCAGGGAGCATTGTGATGTGTGCCACAGTGGTTCATTGTCTCTGCCCCAAGAAACTTATTTTCTGGTAGTAAGGAGTCAAACATTGAATGAATAAATCACAAAGACATATGCAATAACATTAAATGCTACAAATAATAATAATGATGAATATTTATTAATTGTTCCAAGCATTTTATGTACAGTCATGTGTTTAAATTTCTACACTCTCACTTTGTGAGATAGATACTGTAGAAGAGCAGAATATGCCACTTCAAAGTATGCTTTTTCAGTATAAGTATTCCTTTGAGAAAACAGCAACTATAGGAACAGCCCTGAGAACAGAGTGGAAGTACCTTTTGGTAGGGTAAATTTAAATTTATAGAAGAAATTTCCATTTGTAAGAATGTCTCCCCCTTGAGTACTAGGAAGAAAAGAAAGGCACTAAATTACCAGAAACTCTTGTCAATGGAGATGGCGCTGACTTAAATATGCAAAACAAACTTTACGCTTGTTTACCGTGCTTTACCTGGTCACTTCCTCTTAACTGTACCCCTACTGCCATAGTCTTCTTTCTTTGCTTCAGCTGAAGATGGTATTTAAGTATGAATTCAAAGGCACCTCTTTGAAAATTACTAATTCCCTGACTAGCTCATATATATGTATATGAAATATAGATGTTGATAAACTTGTGGGATTTTTGTTGTTGTTAATCTGTCTTTTGTTATAGGGTACCCCAGCTTAGAACTCATAAAGAGTAAAAAGAAAGTTATCTTTCCTCCCCCCAAATACTATTATTATCCAAATTTTACAAAGTAAGAAACTGAGAAAAACTTACACAGAATAAAACTTTTAAGGAAACTAAGGGATGCTATGAGATATAATAGCAGGGGAACTAGTACTCCTCAGTGGGGTCAGAGGTGAAATTTGCATGTAACCCTTAGTTATGACTTATAGCAAAAGCCTTTTTTTTTTTTTCTTGGAGAATTCTTAGTTCTTTTATAATACTCCACTGGGATAAAATCTCAGATAAATCTACCTTTTACTGACTGCGAGTCTGTTTTGATCATGGTTAAAATGAATTTCTAGTGTTGTGGACTTTTAATATTTTATCAAAAAATTGCCCTTGGCTGACTTAAACTTTTACATTCTGAATATATTATACTTTATAATTTTTGATAATATATTTTAGATAATATAGAAGTATTATTTCTGGATTCTTGATATCATGAGATGGTTTCATCTGGACTCTTGTCTTAACAGAAAGAGTAACTTGGCTAAGAGAGCTGCAGTGGTTAGAGATTGGGTCCTAATCCCCTCTGGTATCTACTAACTGAGTGACTCTATTTAATTACTTGACACCTCTATGCCTTTGTTTCTGTATCAGCTGCTAGGGCTGCCATAACAGAACATCACCAACTAGGTGACTTACACAACATCAATGTATGTTTTAAGCTGGATATCTAAGGCCAAGGTGATACCAGTGTGCAGGCTCTTGATGTCATCATGAGAAGGAATTCAAGGATGAGTCAGAAAATAGTGACAGTAGGAGATTTATTACAAAGTGAAAAGCATATACTCAAGAAAGGGGATCGTGCGTGTACTTGACAGTGTTGTTCAGTGGAGTTTGGAATTTCTACCTTTATGTGTTTCTGTAACCAAGGGGTGGAATATTCATTAAAATTCCTGGAAAAAGGTAAAGATTTCTCAGAACTGTGGTGCCACCTATTTTTTTACACCAAGTATGGGTGTTCTCTGGACTGTCATGGCCCTGGTGGGCATGTGATTGAGAACATTAACAATGAAGAAATCTAGATCAAATCCAGTCTGTGTTGGGTCCAGTTGGTCTTAGCCAGCTAGGTCCATACCCTGGGTTTTCAGGGTCTTATTAGTTCCTAGCTTCTGCAGCGATTTCAACAGTAACCTTTTGCTAATTATACGAAACTGCTGCCTGGAATTTTCTATTCTCCTGTGCCACTGTATATTATTCCTGCCTCAAAGGTGCTGGTAGTGTTGGTTTCTGGTAAGGCCTCTCTCCTTGTCTTGCAGATGGCTGTCTTCTCACTATATTTTCATATGACCTTTTCTCTGTATGTGCACACTCCTGGTATCTCTTCCTTGTCTTATAAGGTTGCCAGTCCTGTTGGACTGAAGTCTCATCTATATAACCTCATTTAACCTTAGTTACTTACTTAACGCCCTGTGTTCAAATACAGTCTATTGGGGGTTAGGGCTTCAACATATAAATTTTCAGGGATACCTTCAGTTCATAACATTTCACCCTTTGCTCCCCTCAAACTTCATGTCCTCGTACATGCAAAATACAATAACTCCATCCACCCTAACAGCCCCAAAAGCCTTTACCCATTCCAGCATCTAAAATCCAAAGTCTCATTGAAATATCATAAAATCAGATATGGGCACGACTTCAGGTATAATTCATTGTGAGGCGAAATTCCTCTCTAGCTGTGAACCTATGAAATCAGACAAGTTATGTGCTTTCAAAATATAATAATGGTGCAGGCATAGGATAGTTTTCTCCTGGCATTATTGGAAAGATTGAATGGATTATATATGTGAGAGGCTTGGTGTGTTCTAAGTACTGATAAATGTCAGCCATTATTAGAGGAGAAGCTTTGGAGTACATTTAAAAAACTTAGGGAGTCTAAAATACAAGGAGAAAGTGGCCGGGCACAGTAGCTTATGCCTATAATCCCAGCACTTTGGAAGGCCGAGGGGGGCAGATCACCTGAAGTCAGGAGTTCAAGACCAGCCTGGCCATCATGGTGAAACCCCCATCTCTATTAAAAATACAAAAATTAGCTGGGTATTGTGGTGCATGCCTGTAATCTCAGGTACTCAGGAGACTGAGGTGGGAGAATCGCTTGAATCCTGGAGGTGGAGGTTGCAGTGAGCTGAGATCATGCCATTGCACTCCAATCCTGGGTGACAAGTATGAAACTCTGTCTCAAAAAAAGTAAAAAATAAATAATAAATAAAATACAAGAAGGAAACATTAATACCTTCTGTGGCTATTTCTTAACACACAGAACTATGTGCCTTGGACTCCACCTTTAGTAATCACTCTCCTACTACAACTGAGCTGCAGTGGAAAGTGCTATACTATCTCTGTCGGCCCCTTCCCCACCTCACCCTCTTCCCCAAAGGCAAAAACGCAGCAGCTCCAAGACCCAGATATATTTTGTCTTGGCTTTATTTCACTCTCTCCAAGCTGCATTGCAAAATATTTTCTTTGGGTCTGCCACACTTCTCCCCATTACTTTGCTTTTCTCTTCTTAACTCCAATTTTTAATTTTAATGGCAAAAAATATTAAAGGAAGAAGTGCAACATGTGCAAAAGGGTAAATTTGGAACTCAGTTAAGAAATATCTGCTTGAATGAGACAGTATTAAAAGAGCATGATGACACATGATCATTTTCCTGATTTAAATAACATTGTTTGAGGCTGAATGAGGTACTTGAGGACAATAAACCATGTGTCAGTAATTTTTATTTTAATTAAGTATAAAGTCTTCTAAATAAGAAATAAAATTCTAAGCCCCCCAACCAACCTAATGAACCCTTCCTCTTGGCCAAGGGCCAAAGTTAAGCAGAAAATCTAGTTCAGGCCATGATGGGAAGTGAAGGTTACATATGCCTCATTAATCCTTTCTTTGGAATTCTGCAACAGCTGATCATCATTAACATTAAAACGGAGACCTCAAGACTGACAGAACAGATTCTTTAAGTCTGTTTAAGAGACATTTATAATCTATTCTCTCTGAAGCCTGCTACCTGGAGGCTTCATCTGCGTAATAAGAATCTTGGTCTCCACAACCCCTTATCTTAACCCAGACACTCCCTTCTGTTGATTTCAGGTCTTTGATCAATTCTTTCAACGAGTTGCCAATTGGAAAATCTTTGAATTCACTTGTGACCTGGAAGCTCCCAGTTCGAGTTGTCCTGCTTTGCTGAAACAAACCAAGGTACATCTTACAGGTATTGATTTATGTCTTATGTCTCCCTGAAACTTACAAAACAAAGTCATGGCCTGAACCACTTTGGGCACATGTTCTCAGGATCTCCTAAGGCTATATCATGGACATGTCCTTAACCTTGGCAAAATAAACCTCTAAACTGATGAAAACTTGTCTCAAATGCCTTTTCGTTTACAGCCCTTACAATACTTCAAGAAAGAAGAAACTGCTTCTTGGATGTGATGCACATAATGAAACTTTTGTTTAAACTAGTGTAAAACTTGAATTGATACAATACTATCCAATAGAAATAGATTACAAGCCACATAGAAATTAAAAAATTTCTATTAGACACACTTTTAAAAAGTAAAAATAATTTATATTAATTTGAATAATATGCTTTAATTCAATATATCTAAAATGTTATTTTGACAGGTAATAAATAAAAAATATTGAGCTATTTTAAATTTAAAAAATTTCAAACCTTCAAATTCTAGTGTATATTTTACACTTATAGGAAATTGCAACTCAGACATGAATTCATCTCAGTTTTGAGCATTCAAAAGCCAAACGTGGCTACTCGCTATCATAATGAACAGTGCAGTTATGGAACATGGACCCAGTCTTTTGCCCTGGCTCTGAATGTGTTCTATAAATGTAAGAAACAGTGCTACTGAGGCTTTCTTGACTGACAGTACTGTATAGTAGTTGAAACCTTGAAACTTACTGATTGCATGGCCTGAGACGTTTCTTACCCTCACTAACCCTGTTTCCCCATTTGTGAAATGGAGATGATAATAATACATTACAAAACGTTGTAAGTGTTAACTGCATGGAAATTATTTGGAATTGAGCCTAGACAGAGTAGACTCAACAAATGTTAAGAGTTATTTTTGTTAGAAATAATTATGATGATATTGAAAAATTGTTATTAATAGTAAAATCAGGCTGGGCATGGTGGTTCATATCTGTAATCTCAGCCCTTTGAGGGGCCAAGGTGAGAGGATCACTTGAGCCTAGGAGTTCAAGATCAGCCTGGGCAACATAGGGAGACTGTGTTTCTACAAAACATAAAAAAATTAGTGAGGTGTGGTGATATATGCTGTGGTCCTAGTTACACGGAAGGCTGAGATGAGCGAATCACTTGAGCCCAGGAGCCTGAGGCTGCAGTGACCTGTGATACTACTACTGTACCCCAGCCTTGACAACAGAGTGAGAACCTGTCTCAAAACAAAGTAAAAAAAATAAATAAAAATAGTAAAATTATGCCAAATATTACTGTAATATTTTGAAGAATTATATTCCTTACTACTCAAAGACACTGACAATATTCCTTATCCCTAGAAATTTAAATATGCATAGTTAGTGTTTCTCAACCTTTTTGGTCTTAGGACCCCTTTATACTCTTAACACTTATTAAGAACCTGCCCCCCACCCGAATCCTGACCAAACTGTTTATTTAGGTTGAAGGAAATTTTAAGATCCCCTTCAGATAATTGTGATCTGTCCTCTTTTATACTACATCAATACTCAACAAGCAGTAGTTTCTTAAAAGTTTGTTGCAATACAGAATCCAAAAGCATTTGAATGTAATTTTCATATTCTGTTAAAGTCCATTTATCTATCTTATATCTTGAATATATCTTTTATCCCTGCATGATTTTATATCAAAATGCATTGGTTACATAGAAATTATTGGTTCACCAAGTTAAATCATTCAAATTTTAACACATTTCATTATACAATATCAAAAAGTCACATTTGTTAACATCTTCACCTATATCATCAGAAAAGTCTTTAATTATTGGAAACTGTCAAACTAATAGTAAAAAATACAAGTTTCCCAGAATTCTAATAATCCCTTGAAAGCTTGAATCTTATTGGTTCCAAATAATGCCAAATATTTCCCTCCCTCCCTCCCTTCCTTTCTTTCTTCCTTCTTTTCTTCCTTCCTCCCCTCCTCCCTCCTCCCCCTTCCCCTTCCTCCCTTCCTCCCTCCCTCCTTCCCTTTTTTCTTCCTTCCTTTTTTCTAACCTTCCTTCCATCCTTCCCTCCCTCTCTCCCTCCCTCCCTTCCTTCCTTTCTTCTTTCTTTCTTTTTCTTTCCTTCTTTCCTTATTTTTCCTTCCATCCTTCTTTCCTTCCTTCCTTTCTTCCTTCCTTCCTTCTGTACTTCCTCCCTCCCTCCCTCCTTCTCTCTCTTTTTTCTTTCCTTCCTTCCTTCCTTCTTTTCCCTCTTTCCCTTCCTTCCTCTCTCCCTCCCTCCCTTCCTCCCTCCCTCCTTCTCTCTCTTTCTCTTTTCTCTCTCTCTCTCTCTCTTTCTTTCTTTCTTTCTTTCTTTCCTTTCTTTCTTTCTTTTCCTTTCTTTCTTTTGACAAGGTCTTGCTCTGTCTCTCAGGATCTAGGATGGAGTACAGTGGCATGATGACAGCTCATGAGTAGCTGGAACTACAGGTGTGCATCATCATGCCCAGCTAATATATATATATATATATATATATATATATATATATATATATATATTGTAGGGATGGTGTTTTCCTGTGCTACCCAGGCTGGTCTTGAATTCTTGGCTCAAGCAATCCTTTAGACTCAGCCTCCCAAAGTGCTAGGGTTACAGGTGTGAGTCACTGCACTTGTCTACACTTGTTTTGTTTGACATGACTTGCTAACTTCATAGAGAAAATGTCTCACAAATACTGAAGTAGAAATAACCATAGTTTGTCTGTTAGTAATGTTTTCAAGTGAAAGTGGTGTTTCATAAAAAAGTGGCTAGTTTAGCTTTCAACTCAAGTTACCACACACGTACATATCCTAGGAACAACCACTTTGGTATTCAGAAAAAATGCTTTACGCATACTTTTCATTCATTTATATGAAAAAAATGTATGTTCAACATCAAGACTTTATAAAAATTAAGAATTTTTACTGTCTTATTAAGGACATTCATAAGGACATGCATGGTGGTGAATAATACAATGACTACTAATATAGTTTGGTACTGCTGCCTGCATTTGTACTAAAGCACTAGAAGTTTTATCCACAATTGCCTTTGTAGCATCAATACAAAAATCAAAATGCAAAAAAAAAAAAAGATAATTAACATCTTAGTAATATTATGAAAATAATTTTGACCTCAGAGATCTAAAAGGATCATGGAGACTCCTAGGAGTTTATGAACCACACTTAAGAACTGCTGGTTTAGAGAAATATCTTAGAAATTGTGGAGGACATTAACTGTTTTATCTGCCTAGAGTGTCCCTTCCTTCAGATAAGTGTTCTTTCACCTGCTTTAAGCAACTAGTTTCTATGGTGGTAGCTATTTTCCTATGGAAGCTGCCTCCTATCCTATGGTGATTGGTATAAGGTAGACACCAGACTCTATATTCAATATACTTTCTTAGAATTTTTAAACTTGGAACCAGAAAATGTCACTAATAGTCGCTCACTGGGAATAAAGTTATGAGGTTCTGGCATTTTGGTGAATCACTCAAGCATGTAGAAAAAGCTAGTCTAAAATGGGATAGAGAAACCCAACTATCAAAGAGAACCAGAAATGAGAGAAGTCTTGGTAGCATTCCACTCCCTGGTTCCAGTTGTCCCTGAGGCCCAACCACACTGTTGCCCTTCCTGCTACTCTGTGAGCATTTTGATAAATTTCCCTTGCCTCTGAACACTTCATAGTTTCACAATGTTTATGAATTTATCCAACTGTCTTTTTTTTCTGAACGTTTTTACTACCATCAGTTTAACACATTTCAGTGGATTCCACTTCAGATTACACTGAATTTGAGTTTTCTTGACTTTGAAAATATTCTTGCCTGCAGTTTTACTCAGACCATTCATAGAGGCTATGAATTCAAGTTGTTTACTTCAAAGTTAGTATTAAATTATCAAATAAACATCAACAGCCGAATAGTATTTGGTAACAACTGTCAACTCATCAAGCACCAAAGAAAAACGTTTGCAATTATTTTCCTTGTTTCTTAATTTATCCTAAATTTACTTCCAATGCTCTCGACTCATTAAGCAACTGTTCTCACAGAAAGATTAATAATCTAAACAAATTTATTTTCTTTGGACATATTTTTTTGTTGTTGCTGTGATTGAATAAAATTTAATGAATTTGCACCTGGTGAGTGACTTTTCTTGATTGACTACAAACCGAACTACTTAGAAACTTACTTTGGTTGAAGATTCATTTCAAACTTCTGTGAGAAAAATCTGTTGAGATGATTTCTTTTAAACTTTCAAATTTTTCTGACTTTTACAGAATTTGCAAAATTTTCTTCAGACCATGGTCTTTGGAGGACACATTCAGCATATACCACTGCATTTTATCTTATTTTTTTTAATTGTCATTGCATACCCATCCTGTCAAATAAAACAAACAAGAAAATAAAGAGAAAAGTAGATTTTGCACATCAATTTTTAAAATGAATGGAAAGTAGATTATTTTGTTATCTAAATAAATAGTAAGCATTATGTTTTATACATTTTATTATGTCATTGCTATGTTTAAAGAATATAACATAGCTCTACAGTACCAGAATAAATAATTGCCACACTATCTTTCATGTACAATACTCCCTGAGTCAGAAAAATTTGAAAGTTTAAAAAAAAAACTCAGTAGATTTTTTCCCAAAAGTTTGAAATGAATCTTCAACCAAAGTAAGTTTTCAAGTAGTTTGGTCTGTAGTTTCCATGGTCTTTGGAGGACACATTCAGCACATACAATACAATGTGTTGGGAGGTGGGGTCTAATGAGAGATGATTAGGCCATGGAGGTGAAGTGAATAAATTAATATTATTATCATGAAAGTGGGTTTGATATAAAAGATCAACCCCTTTCCCTCTCTCATGCCCTCCTTTGCCCTTAGCCATGAGATGGCACAAGTAGAAGGCCTTCACATGATGCCAGCCCCTTGACCTTGGCCTGTCTCCAGAAACATGTGCCAATAAATTCATGTTCATTATAAGTTACGCAGTGTCCGGTATTTTGTTATAATAGCGCAAAACAAAGACAGGCAATATGTGTGACACTCAAAATGCTTTCAACCTATGCATTCTTCACTGTGAAGAATGTAGTGCACCAATAATCAGTGTGAAGCCATGAAAATGCCACAGTATCTATCACAACAATTCAATACTAACACTGCTGTTTTGGTATGAAATTAGCCACAAGCAACAAAGAAATGACTGTAGCTCTGTTTCAATAAAATTTTTGTTATAGAATCTGAAATTTGAATTTCATATTATTCTCAGGTGCCATTAAATATTCTCTTGAGTTTTTCCAACCATTCTTAGGTCACAGATTGTACAAAAACAGATCTGGCCTGCTGGCCGTAGTTTATCAACCCATGCTTTAAAGATTTGCATTCGATTTTGCTACATATTCTGGATTAGTTCAGTCCTGTAACAATTTCAAATTATTAGCTTGGGGTTTCTTGAGCTAGTTAGTGTCTATTCAAACTCCAAATCCATGTGAGATTAGAGCTATGATTCTGATTTGTGAGGCAGACTATTTTCTTGATTTGTTTTGTTTCCTATTCATTCTGGAGCTGAGATGAGGTTTTTACAAATTACCTTTTATGTCTCCTTTACCATCAGGCACATTTTTTTCCTAATATAGCTTTTCATTTAGGCTCTAGCTACTTTTCAAAGGCCCTGACTTCATGCAAGGAGTTCAATTCCATTATTCCAACTTATGGAAGCCAAGTAAGTCCTTAACTTTTGTATCTCATGTGGCCATTAAACCTAAGGCATCTACTGCTTCAACAACTGCTGGGCACTCTAATTACAGTTTTTTTCCCCACTTTTTGGTGGCCCTAAATATTTCCCTTGTTTTCAAGTGTTGCTATATATTTATAAAAACTAATAGTTTGGCCTACACTTTAAAGATATTTTGTAGCGGTAGGTATGGATTTTCAAAATAACTAAGCCTCTATATTTACGGAAGTGAAAGTCCCTTGTATTTTTTTAGTCTTGTTTTTTTCCTTCTTTTATTTTTTTCATTTACTTTTTCTAACTCAATTTCTAATTTAAGCTTCCCATGTCATTACACTGGTGGAAAACTTTAACCTTTGTCATTATAATTTACTCCTATCTTTCTGTTTTGTTTGTTTGTTTGTTTGTTTGTTTTGCCGTAGCTGCAGAATCTGATGCAATGCTAAAATTTGGACTGTGAGAGCATTTGGTTATCAAGTCATCTGTTCATTCTGAAACCCAGGCTACTTCTGAGAATCAGTTATTCTCTGTAACATAGCTTTTCAGATCCAGGGGCTCCCTGCTAGCATTTAAGTATAGAATTCTTTGTGAAGTTGCCTAAATTCCCACCAAATAGTCATTTTATTACTGAAGTATTCCAACTCCTATAGGGGCTAGGCTTAGAAAGCAGGTCCTTTGCATTTAGACCCACAGAACTCTGTTCTCACTATTCAACCTATCCTTCTAACATCAGAGATTTCTTGTTCTGGGGAAATCGTATTCCTTACATGATTCTGGCCTAAATATGCTGTTTATACCCTAATCTTCTCCCAGCTTTAGGAATTAGCTTTTTAAAAACAAAGGCCTGGAAGATTTCCAGGCAATTTCTGACATTTTGCTCTTCCACAACTCCTCCTTCCCTTCCCGTCTCCTCCAAGCTAGCAGTGAAAACTGAATCAATCTGTTTGAATGGAGACAGGATAAGAAAGAAGTACAGCAATATCTTAAAACATATTTGAACATACGATATTTTTCTGCTATACATTTGAAAGGTGATGGTAATCATTCCGACAAAAGCTGAAGGTTGTTGGAATAGGACAGTGGCAGCCAAGATGGAGAGAATAAAACCGATTTGAGATACATTTTAAGGATAAAAGCAACAGGACTACTAATGAATGACATCATGTGCAGTTGAGGGAGAGGCAAGAATCAAGCATGACTTCCAGATTCATGCTGGATCAATTCTGGAGCCTTATTTGTTGAGCTATGGAATTCTGTAGAAATAAAGTATTTCAAGAGCCCTTTTATATCCATTTTCCTGCTTAAATGAGAATCATATTCTAAATGATTCAATAAGTAGAATGAATAATAAAGATGTAAATAACTAACCCTTATTCCTACCTTCTACCATTGTTGATCCTCTACAAAGTTCTCCTGAGCACTCAGTTTATATTTCAACTCTGGAAGATTTTGAAATGACTGAAAGAAATCATTAAATATCCTTTAATTGAAGGCATGCCAGTGTACACTTTTCCTTTTGACTAAACTATTTTACAACTTTGTGGAGTTGTAAAGCTGTAGAAGATTCAGAGTCATATAAATTACTTTAGTCTACAGTAATGTAAATTTTGTGCAGTGGAGTACAATTAATTATCACCCGGTGGATGTTGACCAGTTTTGCCAATTTTGCATCCATTTGTTAGTTTATTTCAGCATTTCTTTTCTGCCTATAAATGTATGATATTTTGTGTTCTTTGAAGCACTTGTAATACCTCACTCGTTGCCTCATTTAACCAAGGAGTTAAATAAAACCCTTGACATGTATTATTATTATTATTATTATTATTATTATTATTATTTTGAGACAGGGTCTCACCCTGTTGCCCAGGCTGGAATGCGGTGGTACGATTATGGCTCACTGCAACTGTGACCTTCCAGGCTCAAGAGATTCTCCTTTCTCAGCCTCTCAAGTAGCAGGGACTACAGATGTGGGCCACCACACCGTCTAATTTTAAATTTTTTTTTTTTTGTAAAGATGAGGTCTTACCATATTTCCCAGGCTGAGTTTAAACTCAAGCTCAAGTGAGCCTCCTGGACTATATTCACTTTTCTTTTAGTTTAGCTATTATTAGTTTACTATAAAAGAGACATAGAAATTATTTACCTATTGAAAGATTTCAGAACTTTAGTGGAATGGGCAGCTTCATAATGATGTCATTTCAATACTGATTTATTTCATTTTGCATACTTTCCTAGAATGTTACCATCTGTAAACCATCTCTAAATAAGAAATAATCCTTGTCTAAAGCTACTTTGGTGCTTCCATATTCTGGGGAAAGAACTTTATCTTTAACTTGGATGCTAACTGGTTGAATCTCTCCACCCTTTCTTGTAGAGACCAATCTAAACTACTACTGCTGCATATAATACTTTTCTTTGACATTTTTTTTCTGGAAGCATCATGCTTTCCTTGGCTGCAGTTTCAGCTGCAGTTTTCAACCAATACTCAGTCAAGGAGAGAAAGAAACTTTCTAAATGTTTGTTCTGCCAAGACTCTTGTACCAAAGCTCTCACTCTGTATTACTGTTGTGGCTGCAAGAAAAGATCCAAAATCTCTTTGTGGCAAATGCGAATGGGAGTTCACTCATGATTTAGCTCTCTGTTTGTGTTATCGGTGTATAGGAATGCTTGTGATTTTTGCACATTGATTTTGTATACTGAGACTTTGCTGAAGTCAGATTAAAGAGATTTTGGGCTGAGACAGTGGGGTCTTCTAAATATACAATCATGTCATCTGCAAATAGAGACACTGTGACTTTCTCTTTTCCTAATTAAACAACCTTTATTTCTTTTTCTTGCCTGACTGCCCTAGCCAGAACTTCCAATACCATGCTGAATAGGAGTGGTGAGAGAAGGCATCCTTGTCTTGTGCTGATTTTCAAGGGGAATGCTTCCAGCTTTTGCCCATTCAGTATGATATTGGTTGTGGGTTTTTCATAAATGGTTCTTATTATTTTGAGGTATGTTCTTTCAATACCTAGTTTATTGAGAGTTTTTAACATGAAGCGATGTTGAATTTAATCAATAGCTTTTTCTTCATCTATTGAGATAATCATGTAGTTTTTGTCTTTAGTTCTGTTTATGTGATGACTTACTTTAATTGATTTGTGTATGTTTAACAAGCCTTGCATCCTGGGGATGAAGTTGACTTGACCATAGTAGATCAACCTTTTGATGTGCTGTTGGATTTGGATTGCCAATATTTTATTGAGGATTTTTGCCTTCGTGTTCTTCAGGGATATTGGCCTGAAGTTTTCTTTTCTGTTGCTTTTTTTGTCTATGCCAGGTTTTGGAATCGGGGTGATGCTGGTCTCATAAAATGAGTTAGGGAGGATTCTGTCTTTTTGTATTGTTTCGAATAGTTTCAGAAGGAATGTTACCAGCTCCTCTTTTTACCTCTGGTAGAATTCAGCTGTGAACCTGTCTGGTCCTGGACTTTTTTTGGTTGGTAGGCTATTAATTGCTGCCTCCATTTCAGACCTTGTCATTGGTCTATTCAGGGATTTGACTTCTTCCTGGTTTGGTCTTGGGAGGGTGTAAGTGTCCAGGAATTTATCCATTTCTTCTAGATTTTCTGGTCTATTTGCATAGAAGTGTTTATAATATTCTCTGATGGTAGTTTGTATTTCTGTGGGTTAATAGTGATATCCCCTTTATCATTTTTTATTGCATCTATTTGATTTTTCTCTCTTTTCTTCTTTATTAGTCTGGCTAGCAGTCTATCTGTTTTGTTGATCTTTTCAGAAAACCAGGTCCCGGATTCACTGATTTTTTGAAGGTTTTTTTTGTGTTTCTATCTCTTTCAGTTCTTCTCTGATCTTAGTTATTTCTTGTCTTCTGCTAGCTTTTGAATTTGTTTCATCTTGCTCCTCTAGTTCTTTAAATTTTAATGTTAGGATGTCAATTTTAGATCTTTCCTCATTTCTCTTGTGGGCATTTAGTGCTGTAAATTTCCCTCTACACACTGCTTTAAATGTGCCCCAGAGATTCTGGTATGTTGTGTCTGTCTTTATTCTCATTGGTTTTAAAGAACATCTTTGTTTCTGTCTTCATTTCATTATTTATCTAGTAGTCATTCAGGAGCAGATTGTTCAGTTTCCATGTAGTTGTGTGGTTTTGAGTGAGTTTCTTAATCTTGAGTTCTAATTTGATTGCACTGTGGTCTGAGAGACTGTTTGTTATGATTTCTGTTTTTTTGCATTTGCTGAAGAGTGTTTCACTTCCAATACAAAGAGAATAAATACCTAGGAATACAACTAACAAGGGATGTAAAGGACTGCTTCAAGGAGA